TTGAATTAACCCCCTCAATAAATTATTATTTAAACGGTTCGTAAACATTTTGATTATAATTATTTTTTGATCATCCAAATGGTTATTATATACCTTTTACGTATATATATATATATATATATATATATATATATATAATATTTTTATTTAAACTTACTTATATGCTCAAAAATAAATTTTCTAAAGATACATGGTTGATAGCGTGAGAAAATGGTGAAAGAGATAGTGTGAAGAAATAAAGAAGCATGATTGTAGCGTGTAAAAATGGAGAAAGAGTAAGCCTCCATTATTTTATGTATTTTTATTTTAAGAATATTAAAAAAATTAAGTTAATTAAATGAAATTAAATTATTGTACTGAGAGCCAATGAAAAAAATAAAAAATAAAAAAATACACGTTTAAGCCTCCATAATTACGGAGGCTCAAGCACGCATGAGCCTCCATTAAACGGAGGCTCGTGTTGAGGCCTCTAGAATTACGGAGGCTCAAGCACGAGCCTCCGTAATAACGGAGGAATATTTTATTTTTTAAAATTAATAAAAATTTAATTATTTTATATTTTTTAGTACTATTATATTTTATCTTCCAAAAAAAATCATAAAAATATATTGCTTTATAAAGATTAATTTTAAAAGTTATATTTGATAGATTATGTAACTCCATGCATCCTGCGTTAATGTAATGAACTAAACGATTAGACTTTATCAAATACTTCGAATCTTCAACCAATTTTGAAAAATCTACAATTTTGACGCTAATAAAAATACAATAAATAAAAAACTCGTGCAATGCACATGTCAAAAACTAGTTGTGTATGAAAAATATACATAATAAATTACATAAAATTATATAAAGAAAAAAGATTGAATGAAAAAGTTAATTGTATATTAAATTGATAACTAATAGAGTGACACGTGACATTATGTAACTCAAAGTAATAGATAGATCTTTTTTCTAATTCTTCTTCGATTAATGCAATAAAAGAACCATCCCTTCCTATTTATTTGTCCTGTTAGATATGAAGAAAATTAGACCCCAATGAGCCCTTCTTTACTAGCTCCTAGGGTGGGGGTGAAGGGAGGTTTACATAAAACCGAGGCAAAATGGTTTATGATTGAATTTGAGAGGCATTCTTATCCTTTGATATATCCAAGTCCACGGCTTACTTCAGGTTCACTCATAGCTTTGGCAACAACCATAAGAGGTGTGATGTACATGCACTCATTTCGACGGGGTGCAACACTTCTCAGTTTGGACCTCATATTTATCCTATATACCATGTTCGTATGGTGGCGCAATGTTCTATGTGAATCCACGTTGGAAGAACATCATACCAAAGTCGTACAATTAGGATCTCAATATGATTTTATTCTTTTTATCGTATCGGAGGGTTTTTTTTTTTTTTTTGTATATACATTTTGCAAAGTCCAATATATAATTATATTTATCATTTAATGTCATATGTCTTATTATTGTAATGTCAATGGAGTTCCTTGCCAAGAACAACATTAAAACAAGTAAAGGAACGCTTTTTCATTTTATTTTTTTTAAAGCCATTTGATTTAGAGCTCGTTTGATATAGCTATTAATCCAATTAAAATCAATTTTTTGACCGTTATTTCACTATTTCAGCCGTCATTTTTGAATTTTTCTCTCACAGATAGGACTCACTTTATTTCAAACGGTCAAAAAATCAATTATCAAAATCTCTACCAAACAAGCACTTAGTTAAAAATTTAAGTCAAATTTATATTTTGTCAATTTTTTGAAAAATGAACATTTTTAACAAAATCAATGAGACGGTCCATTTGTTTCTAAACACTTTCAATTCAATTCAGTCAATCCAAAATCGACCATTAGAAGACGAGGGACGAGGATATACTCTTTTATTGAGCTGGAAAATTCTACACGACAATTTTAACGGTTTTGCTAGTGGTACATTGGGGTGTACTTAATGGTGTACATACCATTCACATGGACGCGAGACTCACTCGAATAAAATATCATTTCTTTCAAATGGGTCTCACACCCATGTGAGTGGGGTGTACACTATTCGGTATAGCCCATTATATACCACTAGACAAATTCCAATTTCAATGGAAGTGAGGTTGACGATGAGGTTGGGATCATTTTTCTTCTTCTTCTTCTTCTTTTTTTTTTTCCTTCAAATTTTCTTGACATTTATATTTATATTTTTCTTATTCTAATTTAAAAGCTGAACTATAGTTTTGTTAAAAACCTTTTTAGAACATTGTTGATGAGATAATCGATGACAAAATTAAGCCCTTTTTGTTGTAGATTAAGATTAAATTTTTAATAAAAATTGATAAAATTGATGATTCAAAAGTTATGGGCCCCATAACATATTATGCGTTCTACAAAATACGTAATTAATATTAATTTAAAATTTTAACTTGTTTTTAAAATTCAAACCAAACAAAGACAATATGAAAATGGAAAATAGGTATATTTGCTAGGATTTTGCTGTTTTACCAGGGCCATATCGGTCCTGGACCTGATAATGTTGCAGGTTCTTTTAGCTAATGAAAGGGCGATGTTTCAACACCCTTCTGTTTGTTCGGTAATGTTTGGCGTTTCCACTACTCCGTCAAGTATGCAAGACCTGAAAAATGAAGGCGGGGCTTTTTCCCCCGTTTTACCTCCGGCGTGAGAATTAGTTTTCAGACTTGGAAAGAATATACTTGAAATTCAGATGGCAAAAATGAGAATGGGAGCTAGAAAAAATCCCTTACCCGTGTCACATCCGGGGGTATTTATAGATAATAGGCACTAGGTAACCGCTGGGCGGTTGTGGTGCCAGGTGTTCCACGATGGTATTCCCACTACACCCACGTTCTGAGTGATGAGTCCTTAACTTCCCGTCTGAAGATTGTACCTGTATCATCGGCCATGTAACCTTGTCGATTCATTAAAGGTTTTATGGCTAAGTGTTTGGACAAGGAATATTATTCCCGTTGAGGATTCCGCTTAGTGGTAGAATGATTTCTAGGGATAGCAGTAGAGCGCCCTTTGGGGGTTATAGTAGAGCGCTCCCTAGACGTAGTGGGAGAGCGCTACCTGGGTGTAGTGGTAGAACGCCCTATGGGGGTCGATGGCCTTGCATCAGTGTGCTGTGATCTACCTTGCTTGTCCTTGAGGGTGGCTACTTCTACCAACCTATATCAGCTAATGACTCCAAACACCGGAGACCACCACTACTAAAGTTTTCCAATTGCAAAATACTCTCCCAGACACGTTTGGCTGCTGTTTGTATACCATTATTTAATAAAAATGAGTTTTCGAATAATAAATTTTTAGACAATGCGCATGTTTGGCCCCCATTTTATTCTCATTTTTTCCTCATTTTTCCAATTTTTGTCAACAATAGTGGGCCCCCAATCAGAAAATCAAACGGCTGCCTGACAAAAATTTGAAGCATAAACTTTTCAGACATTTTATTGAATTTAGAATTTTTTGTCTTTCCACTTCTGCCCTCCATTTGAAATGTTATTCCTTAATTGTAGCACTTTATCAACTAGAATTTTATTTTTTAATTGAGGGCAAAACAGTCAGATAAATTCAACGGCTTGGTATCGTGTTTATTCATTTCTGACAGTTTCTTTAACGCTGTCGCATCATCTGCCACAAATATTGTAGAAAAATGAGATAATGTAGAAAAAATTGGCAAGAATGAGACTGTATGATTAAAAAATGTAGAAATTTTTTTACTTAATTTGTAAAACACCTTATTGTGAGACTATATGATTAAAATTGAGTTTGAATAAATAAAATAATGAAAGACAAACGGGAGCTTAATTCTTCTGTCCATAAATTTATTTTTCTATTCAGTTATTGACAAATATTAATTTTAACTGTAGTATCAAACTACCATTACTTATGATTAACACATTTTGTAAGATTCATATTATTTCTTCTAATAAAATGTTCCTAATAATTTGGTGAATTTTGTTACTTATACATAAAAATGGTACATAAGCGATTATCGAAAATGATGTGGAGGAAAAAAATTAGGTGAAAAAGTTGGTTGTATTTTAAATTAACAAATAGTAAAGTGCATTATGGATATTATGCAATTCTTTATGTAAACCTCGACGTACATGTAACATGACCTTAATTTTGTACCAACTTTAACATTGACACCATATTCAAATGAAAGATCCAAAAATAAAATCAGTAAAAAGTAGAAAATATAAAACGACGTTGATTTGCTGTAAAATTACCCAACGGTCAAAATTCCAGTATATGACAATCCTATTGTGTTTGGTGAGAATTAAAACAAGATCTTTAGTAAATTATAATAGAAATTTTTGAAATATATAATTGAAAAATTGTAAATTCATGAAAGATTTAATTAATATTGATTATTTGTCTTGAACTTATATTACCCAAACGGGCTGAAAACATATGAAACTGTTCTTAACGGCTACGTTTCTTACATTTGTTCCCACTTCCCACTTGCCCCTCTCTCTCCAAAAAAATGGCTTCTCGAATCTTCTCACATGCTCTAATTTTCTTCCTTTCACTCATCTCCGCCTCTTTTGCGACCCATGGCGGCGGCGGAGGGACGGCGAAGGTGGAACTGTGGTGCGTGGCCAAGAACAACGCAGAGGATGCTCCCCTGCAATCAGCATTGGACTGGGCATGTGGGCCCGGAGGAGCGGATTGTCGACTCATTCAGAATAATGGGCCCTGCTATGACTCGTCGGACATCCAGCGCACGGCGTCTTATGCCTTCAATGACTACTTTCTCAAGCATGGCCTTACTCAGGATAGCTGTAATTTTAGTAACACTGCTGCTCTCACTTCTCTTAACCCTAGTGAGTAAAGTATATGTATTCTTGAGTTAATTTTTGATTTTATTATTATTATTATTATTATTATTATTATTATTATTATTATTATTATTATTATTATTATTTAATTTGGCTGTATTGCTGATTTTCAGGTTACAACAATTGCAAATTTCCATCCAGGTAATTTATTGGAAAAAGCATTGTATGAATCTCAATGGTCCTGGGTGCTTTCTTGTGATAATCTCCTGTGTACTTTTTATGATAATTTTATTCAAATCATTAGTATGTTATGATTGGATTTTGTTCAATTATTAAAAGAATACAGGGATCAATGCTTAAATTTGCTAATTCATGGCTAAAAGGAACAAAAACAGTGTGATAAAGTCAAGTTTCAACCAAAAAATGGGTAATTAAGTAGTTTATTGTGCTTATTTATGAATGTAAGTCTAGCTTCTTCTTTTTTTCTTTTTTTAAAATCATTTGAAGATAGGTTGTGCATTGTGACTTTTATTTTAATTGATGCATATTGGCGTATGAAACCGTGCTCTATGTGGGTGTGGAAAAACTAAGAATTGTAGATAGGTTCATTATTGAAGATAATTTTTACAGTTCAGTCTCTTTCCTCGCTCTTCCAGTATGTGCACCTCCAAAACAAACTAGCATCGGAGGATGTACAAGGGAGGAAGACTGGACTACGAAAATTATATTCAACATTCATGTACCATAAGTTGAGTTAAACTTATAGTCGGACCATTTCATGGTCAAGCTATAAATGCACAATAATCTGGTTGGATACTTTAATCCTATGATATATGACACTATGGGCTCAATTGCAATGTTGTTTTCCTGCTTTTTTCTAAGACGATTCATGTCTTACCAATAAAAATGATGATTCATTTCTTTGAATTACTGATCTCAGCACTTACTTATGTATGGTTGTGCAGTTTAAGCACGAGTAACGTGGGCATTACAGGGTCCGTGACAGCAGGGCAAGCTAATGGAGATCTGACTAGCAGTCATTGTATTATTCACAGATTGCATGGAGGATTATTCACACTTCCTTCATTCTTTGGGATCATATTAATTTTCTAATGGTAGCAGATCTCGAGTATATGTATTTTGTACGTATCAAAAAATGGGCAAAAGCAAAGGCTTTCGTTTGAAAAGACGTAGCCCAGGTATTCAATAGTTTTTTTAATGGTTATTGGTTTGATATATGAAACATTACCTAAATACTTCTTTTTGATCTGTAGTTAAATCATAATTAATGTTTATCCAATTCCATTTAACCTGATATATTTCTTTGTTGTAATTTTCTTTTCAAATGTGAAATCTGTTTGCTGTTTGTTGGCTGTTGGAGCATGTCTCAAACTTCGGTCATTGGGTACCTGCATTTACTATTTGTCATGCTATTGTGAATTAATGCCTTATTATTTCTCATTTATTTGGTTTCTTGGCATCTGAAATTCATGATATATGCATTTTTTTGGCGAGAAGAGACGCATTTAAAGTTTAGAAATTGAGTTCAAGAACTGAGATATCTCGTTGGATGTTTTATGTAATTTAAGTACAATAACTGAAGCTCTTTGTTTGGATGACGGATGAGTGTGTACTAGGAAATTTCTTTTATGTAGTAGACGTTAATAGCTATATCGTTGCCATCATACGTCCCATCTGCAATATCCTGGAACTCCTAGGTATTTTAAGATACAAAAAATATGAGTAAATTTACTTTTTATCTGAACTTTGTTCCCAGATAGAAGCAAAATATTTCTGTCTTAATTATTTCTATGATCTCCATGTCAATTCTGTGTTAGTCCATAATCTCAATTTTGCTGCAGTCTCTCTAGTATTATTTGATGTGTCAATCAGCTGAAAGTTTTTAGTAGAAGTTGCATTTAAGTTTTGACGTCATGCATAGCTACCTAGTTAAGATTGTTAACAACCTGTTTTTATAAAAATAAGTAACTAATTTTAACTTTGACTTAGAAAATTATATTATCAAATACAACGAACAAATCCCTTGCTCAAGCCCAAGAATTCTTTAAGAGGAAAGCAATAAATTAATCGAAATCTATTTTACCAAACCACCAACCAAATATTAATCTTCACAGAAATCCAGTGACAAACGTATAGAATCTATAAATATTTTAATATCTATATGCATGTATTGGTTTCCTGTACCTCATTTGCTAGATAATTACTCTCTCAATATCTGGTAAACCATCTTCTTCACATGATCTAATTCTCCGTGATGATCTTTCCTGACTAAGAATTCTTCTGAATGAACTTATCCTCGAGTTTGATCCACTAATTCTGGCTGATGATTGTGTTCCACCACCTAACGACGATGACCTCCCTTCCAGTGGTGGAGCAGAAGGTGTTGCTCCTCCCACTCCGGCTGTGCCTTCTGGTGCCTCGGCCACCACTAACCTCGGTTCAGCCTCGGTGCGACAAACAGGACAAGTTGAGTTTGAACCAAACCATTTACCTATACACTCCGCATGGAAAGTGTGCTTACAATTTGGCAAAGTCCTTGCCATTTCATCATCCTCCAACATGCTCAAACAAACTGAACACTCCACTGAAGAACCCATCTGATCATCATTATCATTTCCATTTGTTTTCTTGAACGCAAATATAGGCAGGGAGGCCATGACTGATGGGTCGAGGCCAGTCGTCAGTGGCAGTGGCTCGGTGGGGGCAGCACTTATGACGTAGCCTAAGTTGAAGAGGCCGGTCTGTCCTCGGGCCTGGCGGCGGCGAACGTAACATCTTACATATATGTGGAGGATTGTGACAAGTACAACTACAACTGATAATGAAATTATGGCTGTGAGCATAATCTTACTGTTAAGATCATAATTGCTTTTACGATAAATAAAGTGCGGTTTTTCATTGTGAACATCATCTGAACCCATTGTGAATTTTGGATGTGGTGGTGAAGGACTGGAGCATGGAATGGTTGGTATTTTTCAGATTTTAATTAAGTTTGAGATGGCTGTTTATCTTGAATGTTTCGTGGAAGAAGAAAATAAGGATTCAATAGATTGACTAGGGAAAATTGACTTCGGACTAATTTAGCCTCTGTTTTAGCCCCCATTTTTGTCAAGAAAAATGTTTTTTTTAATAGTATTTTGGTGGAGAATGTATGATTTAAAAATAAAGAAAATTTTTGAATTTGTGTGTGATATTATTTTATTGATGAACATGTAATTGAAATGAAGTTAAAACACTATTTAAGAATGATTTGTTTCCAAAAAAAAAAAATGTGGACTCAAACAAGGTAATTATTTTCTCGTCCTAATGCATCGCGCATCTAGAATAGTTAATTCAACGGCTCAACCTAACCCAACTCGACCCGCAACTTTACAAAAGCGCGGCGTGGTGTACTAAGGGACCTCGTATGGACATCTTTTTGCTTATTTCATTAATTGCCACATTGTAATATGTTATGATTTCGTTTTCTATGATTTTCTTCCACAAATTTAAGGAAGAATCAACTGCGTGTATGAACGGATGGCAGAAGTCAAAGTCCAGCATTATAAGTCAACAATTTAGTCGGGAACGGCGTTCAAAAATTCACTCTAAAGATGTAATGCCACGACACAAGTGAAGTTTTAGTTGTACAAAAAAGTCAAACTCCTTGGAAAAAAAAAAATGTGATAGCGTGTCATTCATGTTAAATCAGATAAATAGGAAATAATGATGAATAGCATTATTCAAATTTTTCATCACGAAAATAAAATAAAAGCTCGTTGAGAGTGAAACTAAATAATTACATGAATGTTAATTGTTTGATATGATAATTGGTCGGTTCTCGTGTCATTCGTGGAGCTTTATTTATTTATTATTATTATTTTTCTCTACTTCGGTACCTCATGGAGGTAGACCACAACTCTGTTATATATTTTCTAGTTTTAAAAATTTCCGAGCTGATCGAACTTTAGCAGACTTCTATTCGATTTGCGGGTTGACTAACAATGCATCTTCTATGAGATTGAAAAAGATAGCATGGCGACTTGGAGCAGAAGGATACGAGGATTGTCTTACGAAGACCGTGTTGATGAAGTACTTGAACTTTCTGATATGAGTAATTTCCTATTCTTCCATTCCAAAAACAAATATTACCCATTTAAGACCTCCATTTTAATTAAAGCTTCCAAATGGGGTACATTATTATTTGTATCCAAACAAAACATCCCCCAATCAAAAGGTAGGGAGTATGTGACAAAATTTGATTCGGCCTCTACTACCATGATGCTTCTTCTTGATTCAAGACTAGGTATAAATTTTATTAAACCATGACAGTGATAGCTTCTTGAGACTGAAGACAATTTTCATAGATCGAAAAGTGAAAATGAATTTCCCGTATAGATTGAAAAGTTCTGAAACACAAACGAATTGAACCTCTCATTTGCATGACAAATGGATCTGAAAATTCTTCAATTTGAGAATGATGATAACAAAGCATACATTTTTTTTTTAATAAACCCTAAAAAGAAAAATAAACAAAAACATCATAAAAGCGTACATTCGTGTACCATTATACCTACACTTTATGTAGACTTAAGAGTCACATAAATCTCCTCTCAAATTCAATTTTTAACAACAAATTCTCTGTTATGACTTTAGTCCTTCTTCTTCT